GTTCAGCAGCTGGTGGAGTGGAGCCAGGAACAGTTCGGGGTTAGTGCTGGGCTGACACTGGTGCTCCAGGGACAGAGAGCAGGGGCTTAACAACCTTGATTCCTGATCAAGGAAGGAAAGCCAGCTTGGAAACCAGAATCATACCTCTCAAGCTGTTTATCAACTTAACGTTAAGTTTAGCTTTTCTGACCGTCTTTTATGTTTTTTTCTTATTTTGCCCTGAACCCACCTGCTGCATAAAATACTTGAAGAACAGCCTTGCTGTCTGTAGAAGACCTCCAAGAAGGCCCATTCTCAGCAGACCAAAAAGGCTTGCAGCAGTTCTACATTAAGTACCTCTTTACCCACTGATAGAAAATATTTTATGAAAAAAAGTTAAGCTGCTGCTGTGCCAGTTTTGCCTGCTAGGACTTTGTGATAATCAAATATCTTCCTGCTTGGTGTCTCACTAGTGGAACAGGGGATGACAGCACACAAGTCTCTTGGTATTTTTGAGCTCCTTGGGCTCCCGCCTCGCTTGCCAAGGCAGACAGCGGATTCGCACCCAGCTGGATCAGCGGGATAGCAGAAGGAAGGGTGGACAAAACTCCCCCGGGAGCTGCTTGGGTGGCTGGGAGCAGGTCTGCGGGGCAGGACGGCTCATTCCTGTGCGGTTGATGGCAGGAGATTTGCATTCCAGATAACGAGGGTGGCCAACGCTCTCGGGCTGGGCTGGCCTCCTCCCTGCATGGTTGCAATCCTCATTTCTTTTACGTGTCCTAAGGCAGCCGAATCCTAAGAGCAGAAGGATTCTTCTACTCCCTACTCTCCGTCTGCTGTGATTCCTTAGTGTGCCTTACTCTTAATTATCTATTAATCTTTATGAACTCAAATGGCATCGAATATTTATTTCAGAACACATCTAATTAAGCAGTACTCTTGTCACCATGGTGTTCCAAGCACAGCATTACTTTCAGTTGCCTTATAATCATATTCATCTTAATTATTGCAAGTGCACTGCAACTTTCTAAAGAACATCACTGTTACTGCTGTCAAAAGTAAGTTTTTTTTTTTCCTGTATGCAGTGGTATTTTAAAAGGCTGCTTCTTAAGTTGAACAGATTCTTACAGTTTTAATCTAGAAATAAAAAGCAATATATGTTCTCTGAGCTTATCAGAAAAACAAATGCACAACTGTGCTTTTTCTTTTTAAAATACTAAATTGAATATTAACTAGAAAACTAGAATAGAGCATTTGGAGGTATTGGTAAGGATTGTGGGTTTTGTGTTCTAGTGGGAGAAGAAGAGGGTTTAAGGCTCAGGTATGAAAAGCTTAGAGAGTTTAATCTCTGTGTTGACTATCAGTAGTAAGCAACAGTTCCAAAAATTCTTTTAAGTAATAGTTTGAGCAAGTCTTTGAGCAGAGCCTCTCCATTTTGGTCATTAAAAGTAAGTAGCAAAATTTGGGCTTATGGTTAAAATTTAGGTAGCCTGAGCTTTTCAAGATGATGTTTTGGGGTTACTTTCAGAGTGTTTCCGTGATCAGACTGGAGAGAGAGCAATTCCTGCCTGAGAGCGTAAGGAAAAGCTGCTCACATGGAGCCCCTTGTATGAGCTGCTGTCAGCTCTGATTACAGGCAGTTAATCAGGGGAGCGTCTTATTAGATAAAGCATCTTCACAAACGCAATTCCTGACATCTAGAGCATGCCCAGCTTCCCAGAGCTCAGTGCAGTGACAGTCCTGTGCAGTACTACGAAGGGAAACTCCACACTAGCCACGTGGGAGGGAGGCAGAGAAGATCCTTTGCCTCTGCTCTGGTTAGTCTGACTAGGGCACTGTGTTAGGGATTCAGTAACTCCGCACCCAAAACCTGCAGGAGTTCAGTGTTCAGTGCACCATGTGAGTCACTGTGACCAGAAGCTCTTTATTTGCTATTTACATGAAAGAAAGGGAGAATGGCTGAAGAAAGTTACAGATGCCCCAAAATGGTTTAAAAGGCTTTCAGAATTGATTAGATGATCATTGATTATTAGCAACTGATATTTTTTCCATGAGAAGATGTTAAAGAGATGAAGCTAATGATGTGTTGCAGACAGAAAGCTTTAATCTCTTCGCCATTTTATAGTTTTTCCTTGAACCTTTCCATGTAATAGTTGCTAGTATTTTTCCATTGGATTTCATATCCATTGCACTCTGCTCCTCACCTTTCATCCCTATCCAGTGATAAAGGACTACACAAAATACATCCACATGACCTTCTCTGTGACAACAGCAGCGTGGGGTCTGAGTGAGTTGGCCTCACTACATTCCTACATAAGATGAAAAACCCTTTTTCATACCCAAGTTTAATGTTTAACGCTTTCTGCAGTTGCAGATGAAAACAGGAACCAGCAAATACTTATTCTTGTTCAGGCAATGTGTCCAAAATCTACTGCTCAGTAGGAGAATCTGTGGCTGAGAAGTCACTGTTGTGTGAGGGTTTCTGTTCCGTTTACTACTAGAAGGACTGAGGACATCAAGATCTTCCAGAGTGCTTTGAAAAAAAATATCTTATTTAGAAGATTAAAATAGAATTACCAACAAATCTTTTATCAACTGTACTGGTTACTCCAAACACCATTTCTTTTCCTTGACCTTTCTTTGCCTCTCATGCTGTTGCTGGGATTTCACTGTTCAGTGAAGGCTTCTGTTTCTTCCTCCTTGCATTTCTCAAGGGCTGATCTGAACAGTGAAACCTTCCAGCACAAAAAAAAAAGGAGAACAAAACTTTTAAGCTAGATTTGATGGTAGATTTCAAAATTGCTAAGTATATGTGATTTTGGAAGGGGCAAAAATGAAGCACTGCAGGAAGACTAATGATAAGTTACTCCATGTAATGTCTCTTCCTTTACAAGCTATCTCAGGAGATGGAGGATAAAGCAAAAAGCTAGGTGTGGCTTACTCTAAATAAAGAGTGATTTTAAAAGAAGTAGTGTTTTTTTTTCTGTTATTTAATTAGGATTAAAATGGAGTTCTTATTTAGGGAGCAGTTTGTGTGTTCTCAGATGTGTCATACCCAAACATTTATTTCTTCAGTGCTTATTTGTTTTGTGTTCATAGCACTGTGAGCCTTAATCTTTTACAGTTAGCAAAGTACATTTGACATCCTCCATGGAAATTTTGTCCTTAGTTACCCAGACAAACTGTCTGCTCATGTGTCACAGCTGAAAAAAAATACATAAAATTAATACATCAAAAATCTTATGTTTTGCCAGCTGGATTACAGTGCCCTGCCATTATGGGATAATAATCATATGTTTCAACTCTTGCCTATTACTAGGAAATGAGAAAGGAACAAAACAACTTTGGCCTTCCCAGTATTGCATGTCTTGTATTTCTAAAATTTCCTAATTAGAGGGACCTTTGTATTGGCATTCAGAGGACAACCTCTGAATTTTAAGATGGGGGATTTGTTCTTGATATGGAGTGAGAGAAGGACTTCTGGCTATTATGTGTTAAAGCTTTTGTTCATCTTCCATGCCTGCCAGAGGCACTTTGCACCATGAAAGACATTGAAATCATTGCCTGAATTTCCAGCCTCCCATGCTACAAGCTTTCTTTCTTCACAGGTGGGAAAGTTGGAAGAATTTGGTCCATCTTTCTCTCCTGTTCCACCTCCCAGCATTCCCAGACTGGATGCAAAAGAGACACAGGTGTATTTTTCATTGCCTATTAGTAGTTAATCCAGTGCGCAGATGGCACGTACCTTTCAGCTCTAGCCATGCAAGTTTTGGGCACTCCAAAACCTAAAGCCAGTGCCCGGGGTCCCTGCAGTTGTTGCACATACAGGAGGTTGTCTCTTTGGTGTCATTGTCCATGCCTGTCTATTAGAATGGCCTCATGCCAGGTTATATGTTAGGCAGAACTTATCAGCTGAAGCTGGATAGTGAGATTGTGTGTTTAAGATGGCAACGTGCCATGTCTGCTTGTAGAAATGACACGTACAAGTTATTGCTGCCCAAAGGCATAGGGGCACTGCCCTACTTCAGGAGTCTATGTAGACACCTCCTTCCAAATGCTGGGATTCATATGTCCACTAACTTGAGCGTCTGTTAGTTTGGGGAGGGCAAGGACGTTTCCTCCAGTGAAATAGGACATCAGTTGAATCAGTGGCAGGCTGAGTGGTTGCCTGTCTCTTGCACAGCTTGGAGTCTGTGGCTTGACTGGTGACCCGTGAGCTGGTGAGTAGAAGATGCTTCTATTTAACTGTGCAGGCTTCAGCTGATGGATGGGAAAACATTTTGATCCCAGAATCTGTGCTTAATGCTTTTCGGGTCTACCCTGCTCAGGTTTTGTACAAGGGTGTTCGTTTCAGCAGAAGGTCTCATATTACAACAGATATGGCCAGACCAGTATAACACATTCTTTATTCATGCAGCAATAATTTACTTTAAAATAAATGCTTCTGTACTTCCTATATGAACAGCAGGAAGACCTGTATCATTTTAATTATTATAGTTAACTCTGCCAATTTATTAGTGTGGGTAAAGCAGGGCAGATCTTTTACTGGTACAATCTCACAGGCATATGTTTTTGCTCTGGGTAAGTCCTACTCGTATCCAGTTTTGCTGGCTCCTCTTTGCAGTCTCATCAGTAATCTTCCCTTGTGCCTGTCTATATGGCTTGCCATTTTTCATTGCTCCTTCTGTCCAAGACTGAAGGCCCATTATCAACTACCTTGCTGCCTTGTTTCCTTCTAAAGCATTGCACTCTACAGTACTTAATACCCAAATCCTTGCCATTAACACTCCCACAGGCTGAGAAAAGGTCTCTGAGTGAGCTCAGCTATATCCTTTTTCTCTAATCAGCTGGAACCTCCATTCAGACATGCTCATGCATTCAGACCAGTGTGGTTTTGCTTTACACTAATCAGGAGGAGGTTGGGGTGGAAGGATTGGTTTGTAGCCCAGAGACCTAATTTGGAGTCATATGGAAGAGAGCTGGTGCCAGAAAGCTTTTTGGTTCCTGAATACAGATTAGTTCTGCAGGAACTGATCCAAGAAGCTTGGGAAAAACTGCATGGCAGGCAGGGGAGAACTCCCTATTTTGGCTTTGTTTTCCACTCAGGGTCTTAATGATGTCCCTTAAGAAAGCAAGTAAGTAAGCAAAGCAACAGAATTCCCAAGCTGTACGTTTCAGAAGTGATTTCTCTTGTGGCATACTTCTAGGAAAAACATGACTTAATTAAATCTTAGAAGCCTTATGCACTTGCATTTTAAAATCTGCTGCATAGGTTTGGCTGGCAACCAAATTAATAACCCAATAAATCTTTGCTATAAGAGTCAAGATATTAAACCAAGTGAGCTCACGGACATGGTTTACTGAGACCCAATTGGTGTTTTTGTGTTTTGTTTTGTTTTTTAATTGGTAGTACCATTCAGAATTGAAATCCTTTGTTAATTAAAGGAACAAATGTTAATGTTTTACTTTTTTTTTTTTTTTTATCCCAAACCTTTTTGCTCTTTATACAGAAGTAATACACTTTGAACTGCTGAAATACAATATTTTCACCTGGAGTTCATTTTTGGTTGAAACTTTTCAGAGCAAAGTTCTAGGGCTACTGCTCTTAGAACAGGGGTTTATTTTTCTAAGATGAAAGCGTAGGATCAAGAGTGACTTTTACTATATTAGAAGGAGAAGGTTATTAATCATAAAAAGCAGTAATGGAGATTACTAGTTTATAAAATGCTGCTGCTCAGAGTTCTGTAGCTACTGCTTAAAGTTGAGGAAAAGCTAGACTAAGGCAAAATCAACCGGGGAAAGCAAAATCCTCACTTTTTATCTGCAATAAAAGCTAAACCGTTCTCCTATGTTGCTCCAGATTTGTGCTTTAAATGTACCTTTTTCTTTTTCTCTGCATGTGTGCCTTGGGGTGAATTGCTGTCTTAAAACTTTACGTAAGCTCTGATCCAGTGTGTGAGGAAGGTGTTTGGGTTTGGTACAGACAAACCCATCTGGATGTGGCAGATTCTGCAACGTTGCAGCTGTGGCTGTTCGAGGAATGGGCTTTTTCACATTGACTTCTGTGCTCAGTCTCATCCTGGGAGCCCTGAGCACGTCCAGTGCTGCTGTAGCAGTTCCCTCTCTTTCGAGTCTGATTCCCTCCTAGCTCTCAGCAGTCTCCTTTTGCAGCGGGTGTTTTTCCAGGTGCAGCCGTGTGGGGTTGCTTGGCTCCTGGCTGCGATGGTTGATGCCAACCGTCGCGCCGTATCCGTGTATGCGTCGCCTCCGGGGGCTGGGATGTGGGGAAAGGGCATCCACCTACCCCACCGTCTACAAATGCCTTTCTCTTTTCCCTTCGTTCTTCCCAGAAAACACTCCTCGGGAAACGTTGATGCATTTTGCAGTGAGGCTGGGGCTGCTTCGGCTGACATGGTTCCTGCTCCAGCAGCCAGGAGGAAGAGGAGCTCTCAGCATCCACAACACCGAAGGGGCGACGCCGGTGAGCTTGGCCTTGGAGAGGGGTTACCTGAAGCTGCACCGGCTTCTGACAGAGTAAGGATGATTTGGTGCTTCCTCTGCTATTTTGCTGTTCTTTGGGTCGTACATGTCTTTACGTTATCATTGAATAATGCCTACGAGCTGAACTCTACCCTTAAAGACATCATTTCTGTAATGTTATTTTTACCTTTATTGTTGGAAACAATGGGGCAAGCCCTTAGGCGTTCTGGAAGTGCAATAGCAATGTTGAGTTCTCCTTTTCTGTTTGGTTGCAGCAGTTTCCAGCCATCCTTTAAAGCCCAAGTGAGTCACTGAAGTACTGAGTAATTAAGCGCAAATCTTATGCAAACATGAGTGAAAAGGCTCCTTTTTGACCAAGTACAGCTGTTCAAAAGAGCTGGCAGCCTTTGCAATGGTCATTGTGACTGTTGCATTCTTATAGAGCACTTTTGGACTTTTTGGTCAAAAGAAGTCATGGTTTTTCTTTTGAAATATGGTGGCATACTGTGGAGTATAGATAACTGCCAGTGTCTGGTTTAGATGAAAATTAATATAAATATTTAAAAGCAGAAACTGTTCTCCTTTACCAATGGTTATGAGAAGCAGCTAGAACTTACTAACTAGTAGCAACTAGTCACATTTGCATTTACTGTGGGATTTAATAAGGAATCCTTCAGAAATAGACAAGTTATTTTGAATAGCAAATGTTTGAACAGCAGGCTTTAAAAGCTGAGGCTGATAAAGGCGAAGAGCTTAAGTAAGTCCTGAGGGGGCTGTTTGTAAAAGAGGAAAGATTTAGTCTGCATTTGTGTTATTCTGATGCCTATTTCTTGTAAGCTCTGTTTATTAACTTTGTTTTTCTGATTTGAATTTTTAGATAGCTAGGGTTTATGTTGAACAACCCAGTATAGGAGTCCACTGTTCTGTTCAGAATATTCAAAACTGTTCCACTTTACAAATGTTGAACAACCCAGTATAGGAGTCCACCGTTCTGTTCAGAATATCATTCAAAACTGTTCCACTTTACAACTTGTAAACCCTTCTGCTTTCTATATAGTATTTTGGTAAGTGGTGAGCTTGTTAGAAAAAAAAAAATGTGCGGCTGGTATGATTGCATCTAAGTTTCATCTTTCTTATTTAACATTTCTGCCAACCCACATGCAAAGTGCAGATAAAGGGAAAGGTGTAGCATGGGACAGAAACTAAACCCTGACCTTTTCTGTCCAGGATTAATATTCAGATGACATAGTGTTGAACTTGCATGGAAAAATTGGTTTAACAACAGTCATACTGTTGAAAACATGCTAAACTTGGGCTGCCTTGTAATGCTGGGGTGTGCAAATCATCCTGTAACTACAGCAAAATCCTCCTACCTGAGACACACAGCATGACAGGATTTACATGCAGTCAAGAGAGTTAAATTGGCCCAAACTGTATAGCTCACAGCAAATGCTGTTATGTGAATAGGAGTAAAGCTGGTAATTTAATAAGGAATGGGAAGTAAACAAAACTGTTACAACAGCAATTCATGTATTTGGTGAGGATTTCACAACTGACACCAACAATAGGATGGCAGTTCCTTGTTGGTGGAAAAAAACAGTCTATCTGGCACTTGGGTTTCATGGCATTGCCCCATGCTGTTCACTTTAGTAGATACTGCTCATGAAATCCAAGGGATTTTTTGATGACCTTTACAGTTCATCTTTGAAAACAAGATTCTGTAGCATCTTTGGTCACATTTGCCAGCAGGATCCCAGCTCCTGTTCTTTCTGGCATATCCTTGAACTATTTAGTTGAAAAATTACCACTATTTTTCCTGGTGGAAATATCACGGATCTAACAGCCCTTCCACCTGTCCCAGGGGTCCCCAGATCTCCACAGCGGTGGCGGCTCAGGACGATGCAGTGGCCACCACAGTGACTTTGTGGTGCTCGCTGCTTTCTGCAAAGAGGTGGGATCTAGGCCTAAAAAAATCCCTATTGAGAGCAGAAGTACTGAGTTTCAAAATATAGAGGTACAGCCAAATTCAGCGAAGAAAGTATATATCATTTATGTGCTGTCAAAACACAATGGATACTGTATAATTCTTTTCTGCACTCTGCTTGTGCACGCGCTGTACGATCCACGCACACCGATTTGGCACCCAGTTTACACCACTCAGCAAAACAGAGACCAGCAGCGCATGCTAGTGAGAGCCCGTACAAAGGAGTCATTATTTTACAAGTAATTAAACTACACTTCACAAATAAATGAATGCAGTGTGTTTAGTGATGCATTATCCTTGGGGGGATTTTATTGTTCACTTACTTGCTAATTTGCAGGACCGTGCATTTTCCAATGATTCTTCCAGTCATCACTGGGAAAGGGTGAAATTTTGCTGTAATTAGGATACAATCATTAAAAAGTAGGCACAAAAACTTCTCCGTTGTTGCAGTTTTGCCTGGGTTCAGCTGCAAAGCAGTCTGATTCAGCTGCAGTGTAAATATTTTTCTAAAAACCTAATTACACTTCTGACATTTTGAATTTCTGTTTATCAGATGAGCTTTCCCTTTTCAGCTGTGGCAGGGTCAAAAAAAGAAAAGATGCTTTTAAATTTTAAATTTTGCAACCCCTGAAATATTCTTTTCTGCAGTATTTGGCTCATGAATGGGCTTTTGCATCCTCTTTGACATGAAAGACTTATTTGGAGACTGAAATGGAGAGCTGCAATAGAGCACACAGATTGTCCAAGCTGGATAGAGATGCTAGCAGTGTTTTTTCTCCAGTTATAGCATTCCTGAGGGTGCTTGTTTCATCTTCTAAATTAAAACTGCTCAGTAAACACTGTCTTGTGGTGCAGACGGAATAGGACATTGCCTGAAGGATGACATTTTTTTTAAAAGCATATATCAGGATTTTCTCCTTCATTGTCTGCTCAATAATCGTCTGGTTAGCAGTTGTTTTTAAATACACCGATCTGATTTGAAAAAGCTCTAGAAAACAGGTAGGCTGCCCAGCCTGCCCCAAGTTTCTATAATTCTCAGGTGCAATAGGAAGGAATTCCAAAGCCAAGGGTCTTGAGCCGAAGCCCGTTGCTTCTTTATGTTAAATTGGGCAATTTTAGCTGCAGGGCGTTGGTCGGCTGCTGCGTTCGTTGGAGGAGAGAGGGCTCTGAAGAAGCAGTTCAGTTTTTTAAACAGGGGGTAATATTCTCCTTGCAAGTAACTTGGAGTCTGTAATAGGACAGCTGCATTTTGCACTAGTTGATGTTTTCAGATGCAGTGCAGGCTATAATCCGCCTGCCAGCTCCATGTTCTGCAACGCTTTGTAAAGCAGGCGAGTAAAATGGCTCCAAGAAATAGCTGCTATTCTTGATTGCCGGGAAGTGCAAGGGCTCTTGTGTAAAGCATGTAAATTCTGGTTTTAGAATCTAATTGTACTTTTCCAGAGTAAAGTTATGTCTAATAACTCCCAAGTATAATTTTTCTTCCACAAAGCTACATGCTTGCAGTCTCTCCACAGCAGAGTGATTTATGCCCCCTCAAAAGAGGAAATGAGGGGAAAGTGAAGTCTGTAAGAATGAATCTTGCGTTTTCCCAGTGCCTGCAGCAGTCTCTGACTTGTTCCCTCTGATTTTAATTTTGCTTTTGTTGCATTCTCTGCTTGCTTTTTCTAAGGAGCTCTTCTGTGCAGCTCTGGGATTGCTCTTCCTTAATATACTATGATAGCATCTGGGCAACTTGGTATGTGAAGCAGTAAGTCAGCATGAATGTGTATTTCCCAGATTAAATTGACTTAGATTTAATTAACACACATGAGAAATAACTCAATGGTAACACAAGTGTCTTATGAACATTTTGCAACGTGTGCTTATCACTTGCTCTTTTTCTGTCTTACATGAGTAGTTGGTGCTGTATGTTCCATAGAGCCTCTAAACTGAGGATGTTTTTCAATAACCTTGTTTTTATAGTGGAGTAAATTTTGCTGCTTTTCGGAGTCAGAGCTGCAGGAAGATTTGCCCTGTGTCTTGTTTAGCAAGTCCTTTAAACATATGTTTGTTTTCAAAAATGTCCTCTTTATTTAAAGCACAGGATTTAAATGTCATATTGAAATTAGGAAATAGTTTTCTGACAGGTTGTGCTAATAGTTAAGATAAGCATTTTTCATTTAATTTTAGTATTAGGTATTAGCATTAGCTCTCTTAAATTCAGGCTTTGTGGATGTCTGTTGCGATGAAGCAAATGAGAGAGGACTCCAAACACAGATACATGTTTTAAAAGGGGAGTGCTGTTTAGCTGTGTCACTAGCAGTGATCCAACAAGATATATATAGATATTTTTAATTTTCTGTCATCTACTGAATTTCAAGGTGATGGCTGGAACAATCACTGTTTAATCGATAAAGATGCTGAGGTGCTGCGAGGCTCTGTTGGCTGCAGGAGAGCAGGGTGGAGATGGGGCAATCGGGTGCAAACATGACGGAGCAGGAAGAGTTTGTGTTTCCCTCTTTCCACCTACTCACCCACTACGTACTCCAGCTCTTACTGTTCTCCCAGCGTGTTCCCACATCCCTAACAGGGCTCTGGCTTTGATTCGTTGGCTTCCTCTTCCCCTTTGTTTTGTGTGTTTCCACCTCTAAATGCAGAGAAGAGGCAAGGTCCTATAGCAGACACTGCCTTTTCCTTTCTGGAATCGTTGGACATCAGAGGTGCTAGAAGATAATGCTCACATAAATAGGTGCATGAGGAGGAAAAAGAAGAGATTGGAGAAGATTTGGTAAGATATGAACAGGAAATGATTCCCCCAGTCCAGCAGTGACCCTGATTCTGAGGTCCAGAAAATTGCAGGGCCTTAAGCCTTGTGTGGTCTGTAAATGGAAGGGGAGGAAGGAAGGGTGCAAGGATGTAGCTGTCATTATCTGAGCTGCCAATGTATCTGAGATACAGATTTGTATCTGAGGTACACAAGGTTATCTGTGTGGATTTGAGCCTTGGGATAGACCACTTCCATTTCAGGATAAATTTAGATGAAGGAGTGATTTCTAAGAGCAGCTGCGTTGCTGGCCTCAGGCACCGGTTAG